CCCACAACTGCTTCCTGAGGAAGGTGTTCTGACTCCCAGAATGTATCAGGCCTGCTGCAACATGCTCCAGGGAAAGTGAGGCTGTGATATGTCCATCCGCTCTTGCAACAGCACATTCCGTGTCAGAATGCTGATTCGCTTCCCACCCACACACAAACACCCTTTCTTCCCAAAGAAGAGTATCTCTATCCAACCAGCACCCTCAACAGCTAATTTTTCCTGAAGGACATGCTCAAAGGAATGAAAACAAGTGAACTCACTGTTTACCTGCCTCTCACTTGGTCTACAACTTTCAAAACCCGGAATCTAATAGGATCTACTTGCAGAGCTAAATTTTATTTCACAATGTCTTATTTTAAAAATGTAATTTATTTGTTTATTTATTTGAGATGGAGTTTCACTCTTGTCACCCAGGCTGGCCCTACTGCATTCTCTTTCACTTACCACGTCTTGGCTACTTCCTGGATCACCAAGAGCCAGGAGCAGAAAATTTAACCATCCATGTAATCCTGACTGCTCAATGGCATAATCTAGGGGCAAGAAAGGTAGGATGCATATTCAATATTATAAAAATTTCAGAAGTGAGGGGATAAAAGCTCCAAATGCATTTAAGTTTACAGATCTGGAGGTATCTCACAATGCCAAGTTATCAAACGATGTCCACTGTAAAGGAGAGAGTATGACAGATCTCTAAATGGATTTTCCACCTTCAGCCCTTGTCAGCACACAGCACTCCAAGGCTAATGACTACATAAAAGGAAACATAAGCACGTTAAAGGCCAGCATTTAAGAACATATGCTGTACCTTTTACATTATGTAGGACATCAAGGTCAGCTGCACCCCTTGGTTTCATCAGACCTGAACGACTGCTTTAAGCTCCTTTCCTCTTCATTCCCTCTGCAAAGCTTCCCATCTGGGGAAGGGCAGGAATGGGGGGAATACTTATAAAATAGTCCTTAGTGCTGAATAATATTACATAAGCTGCCACACCACGTGAGGTTAAAACAGAATATGAGACGGTGTGGTAGCTTATACAATTATCATTGGGATTCTTTATCACAGAAGACAATATTAATCACCACTATGGAACAACAAACTTTTTTTGGCCGAGGATTAACTTTAAAGAATGGAGACCATTCATTCATTCAATCTACACCATTTAATGAGCACCTCTTACTGTGTAGGTCCTAGAGATACAGCAAGGAATAAAACAGACGTTTTTGCCTGGAGAGCTTGTGGTCTAGAAGAGACGTTAACAGTGTGATGAGAGCCAACAAGGAAAGGAACAGGTGCTCTGAGAGAGGGTGACAGGGAATGTGAGTTTAGGTTCAGAAAAAGCCTCTCTAAGGAGCTGACCAAGAAAGGAGGTCAAGTGGAGAGAAGGATATTTTGGGCAGGAAGACCGGCAAGCGCCAACGTCCTAGAATAGGGAGCTTGAGCTCATCTGTATGCAAAAAAGGAGCTAGGAAAGACTTGGGATGGCTGATGCAGGAGGAGCCCAAGATGGAAGGTGGGGTGTTCTACAGTAGGAGTGACACCTGTTCCACAGACAGGGGGAGGGTGGATGTGGATGAAGATGAGTCTGTCAGTCTGAGAGTAGGAAGTTGAGGGAATTATCTAATGCAGGCGTCCCCAAACTGCGGCCCCCTGAGACCATTTATCTGGCCCCCCGCTGCACTTCAGGAAGGGGCACCTCTTTCAGTGGTGGTCAGTGAGAGGAGCACAGTATGTGGCTGCCCTCCAACGGTCTGAGGGACAGTGAACTGGACCCCTGTGTAAAAAGTTTGGGGACGCCTGATCTAATGGCTACTGTTTTCTTTGTGAAATAGCAGGCCTGGTGAGGCATGAGAGTAACTGCATGAGATGGTGGCAGAAAATGGCTATTATGGGCAATGGAGGAGCGAGTCAGACTCACTCACCACTCAACCCTCATTCTTTTCGAAGTCCCCACAAAGTGACACCTCACCCACCCCTTAACAATGGCTTTCTCAATTTCTGGTACAAAAGCTTCGACAACCAGAGCAAAGGAGCCCTGGATGCCTTGATGCTTAGCACTAGAAAGATTATCAGAGATCTCAACTGCCACTCACTTTACTTCATAATTAAGCAATTTACTCAGGAAGCAACTAAATGTCAAATACATGGCTATCAGCCTATCTCCTCAGGAAGCCGCATCCACTGGAAACTGTTGATATCCTCTTTTTAATGGTAGTCACCTTTTTAGTAAAATGAGTTTCTTCCTTCATTTCCCCTTCTTTCCTACTCATTCTATGTCTGAATAATTTAAACTCATTCAGTTTTTAATAAAGCAAGGCCTGGATTATTTTTCTCTGTTTCGTACTCAAGCACAATCACCTAGTCACTGGTAAGCAGGAAAAATTAAATCAATTCTTTAGGAGGTGGCTATAGGCTGAGGACAAAGATCCAGCACCCCTGGCACACAGTCAAGTATGTCTTAAGCTCTGATGGCTTAACAATATCCCCAATCATTTGCTTCTACATTCACTCATATGCAAAAATATGCTGACCTCCAAAATCTGAATCTGACTTGATATTTTTTTCAGATTCAACCCCAAAATATATAGTCTCTCATTGCAGTTCAGAAAAATGACTTAAAAGTATCTCTCCTTACAGCAAATCAGGCATGAAGTAGCCAAAGGCAGTTTTCTTGCAATACAGACATTGACTTAAAAGTATCTTCCCTTACAGCAAATCAGACATGAAGCATCCAAAGGCAGTTTTCTTGCAATACAGACGTTCTTAAGAATTCATGATGCAAGGTCAGGCGTTCGAACCAGCCTGGCCAACATAGTGAAACCTAGTCTTTAATAAAAATACAAAAAATTAGCCTCACGTGGTGGCGGGCGCCTATAATCCCAACTATTCAGGAGGCTGAGGCAGGAGAATCACTTGAACCCGGGAATCAGAGGTTGCAATGAGCCGAGAGCACACCCCTGCACTCCAGCCCAGCTGACAGTATGAAACTCCGTCTCAAAAAAAAAAAAAAAAAAAAAAGGTGGTGAACTAACATTAAATGAGATACATAAGTTCACCAGGAGAAAAAAAAAAGCTACATCTCATATAAGAGGAAATGGATTACTAACGATAGAGAAGATAACTGAGTTATTTACACAACATAGCTCCTTCATAGACATCTGAGTAACGGTAGCTAACCGGATGGTTCTAGATTACAGCCAATAAACTGGCCCTGGAGAAACACACATGCAAAACACACAGACACCCATCCTTTATCTCCTGGCAGAAGCTTTGATGATTCTATCTGGTTAATAAAGTGTTCAATCTCCCTCAAGAGTTATTCTATATCCCACCCTAACTACTATCAATTTAAAATTCTAGTACCTCAGATTAAAAAGCAAAGAGCCAGATTATTTGTGGCCCAGCTGCAGAATGTAAATGATGACAAGTGGAGGGAAGGTGAGGAAGAAGCAGAAGAAGCCCGGTTAACCTCTTCACAGACCAGTTTGCAGGCTGCTTCCAAACTCATCACCAGAGAGCCAGGCCCTTGAGGAGGGAAGACTGTAATGTTGCTAGGGGAATGTATAATACATACTTTGGGATACTGTTTTTCCACTTTCTCTCCCACTCCCTCTTTCCCAAAAAGACAGGGGAAACACACCTGGGAGAAAACACCAACTTGAGTTCTACTTGTAATTAACAGAGTTCTCTCAGCCTGGTTCCTATTTGCCTTCAACTACCTTTGACTTTCAATACACTGATGTTATAAAGACATAGAAAAGAAAAGCATCTATCAGCACACAGTTCCATCAGAACAGAGGCCAGTGCAAGAAAACATTAGTTCCCCCATGCTCCATATCAAGCTCAAAAACAATGCTCCTGGCTGTCGTTTTTCATTTATGCCAACCCCATATTTCTATTAAACAAGCCTCCTTTTTATTGACTGTTTCCCTCACCCAGCATAATAAGGTAAACGTGAGCCCAGAGAGACTACATTGTGAAACACAAAGCTTTACTCTGGGAGTGGAATCAGTAAAAGGCAGAATAGGACAAATTTCAAGGGCTCTTCCTAACTGGTGTCTACCAAATGGAGAAATGATGGGGCTGCTCCTCCGGTCTACCAGAGCTGCTGTGATTGACTTGAAATTAACCAGCTTTCCAAGAGACGACATGAAAAGAGGATTTCACAATCTTGAACAGTCTCCCTTCTTACTCTCTAACTTTCCCCAACCACCCTCACTCCCACCCCCCACTTACAAGAGAACTTTTGTATACATAAAGTTCCAGGGAACAAAGCATACAAACACTCACACACAAATAAACTCCCCAAACTAACACCAGCGTATAATTGTGTTTTGGTTGGAGCTTTTCCAGCCCTGTCACCCGTTCTCTGCTAGGAGTAAATGAAACCTTTTGCTTTTGCAAAGTTAGAAACAAACTCTCCTCAGTTTCAAGTTGCACAAGGACCCCCTCATATCTTTCAGCCCCCTTAAACCCCAACGAACTCAATGCTGAAAAACTAGCAATGAAAAAAAAAAACTATTTCTCAAATATAGATCTTTCACTTCCCCTACTCAGCTTCCCCTTTTAGCCAGAAACACATAGCGTTTCTGATTTCTGAAACCCCTTTTCAAGGGACCCTCCACTCAGGGCTCTTCAGGGGATCCCGCTTTCAGCCGTTCTGATGCAGGCAGGCAGCCCTTTTGCAAGCACATTTTGCATTCGTGGAGTCCAAGTAGGGCTCTTTCGTTTCCAGAGAAAGCTAAAAAGCAGACTTTAGTGGGCTGGCTGAACTAGGTCCGACTCTTCTCCCCTCCCCTCTGAACGGCTGCCAGGGGAGACGGGAGCCAGAGATGAGTACTGGGCTCCGCTTATCCAGCTCCAACTGGGCTGCGAAGGCACAGGGGAAGCGGAAAAAGTGCCTACCGCTCACTTTAAAACCCCATCTGCTCCTACCACCACTGCCTTCCTCAAAATTCCTCCGCAGAAATTGGCGGGCCCCCAGGAGAAACCAGAATCCTACCTTCCTTGGATTCTTCTGCTTCAGAGTGCATAGTGTCAGCGTAACTAGCGGCAGGGGTGATTACTGCTGACAAGTACTCGGACGAGCCGCAAGTTCGCTCTGCAGCGAAATCCGCACACGACGGAAAATAAAAGGAAGGAAAGCCACTAAAATCAAAACCTCCCCGGGGCGGGAGAGCTGGTTCTGGTGCAGGGATTTTCAGGGGGAAAGTTCTGCAAGAGTGACGAATCGCGTCTCAGCTGGGCGGCGGGAGTCCGCCCCCGGAGCCGCGCGCTCGGGCCGGCCGCTGGGCGGAGGCGACCTGGCGGGGCTGGCTCGGCCCGGGCGCACGCAGGTGGGGCGCAGGCCCAGACGGCAGCCGACTCTCCCGAGTCGCAGGGCCTAGGGGGGCCGTCGGCAAACGCACCAGTCTGGCGGAAAAAAGGTCTAACAAAGAAAAGAAGTCTCATCTCAGAGCACACTGTAGTTTGACATAAATGCTTATACGGTAGAAGCAATGCTTCTGTATTTTTGGATTACACTTTTTTGATACCCATTTGACCTTCTGTCTTGGAGTCTTGCACGCCAAAAATTACGGATTTTAAAGCTGCTTGGGTATTGCATGTTATTTTTGTAGGAAAGTCACATGGAAATCACCCATGTGGTTGGAAAGGCCAGCTTTACAGAGCACAGTTTCACAAGTCCCAGAGCGGGGCCTTTTGAAGAAAGTGGAGCGGCCTCCACCCTTACCTTTGCACAGCAGAAACAGATGAGGCTGCTTACTCATTCAATACAGCCCCGGGCGAGCGCTGTTACTCCAACCCCAGCCCAGGCGATCACTGCAGCGGTTACTCCAAAGAGCCGTTCCTCAGCAGGGGAGCATGGTTCCCTCTCTGCTACCCAAAACGACTGGGGATGAATTCCTTCAAAATCCTAAAGGGGAGGTTTTCAGGGTTTGAAATGCTGATAGAATAAAGAACCTGAAGAGCCTTCAGAACAGACCTCAATTCTGCCCCCCTGGTCTGGCCCACAGGCTCCTGCAAATTGGCTGAGCAGAAGTCCCCTTAGCTCTATGGAGCCTTGGTTTTCCCTCTGCAAAGCAGGGACAAAAGCTGCCACTGATAGACCTGTCTTATGGAGGTATTTTGTAGAACACTTGTTTTATCGCCAGTCTCAGGCAAAAAGTCCCCAAATAATATATCTGAAAGATCCGCTCGGAAAATGAGAAAAATTATATTCTTTTGACAAATTTATTTTCCAGCTCTTCTCTTCTTCTTCATTTCCCATTTTGCATAGGCAAAAAAACAATAGAAACACTATGGCAAATTTCATGAAAAGAACAAACAAAAGACATGGATTTAAAGAGTCTAAATTTAAATCCAGTTCTGCCATTTATTATTTGGATGACTTTATGGAAATTAACCTCTCTAAGCCTCTGATTCCTTATCTGTAAAATGAAGATAAAAATAGTATTATTGGCCGGGCACGGTTGCTCACACCTGTAATACCAGCACTTTGGGAGGTGGAGGCGGGCGGATCACCTGAGGTCAGGAGTTCGAGACCAGCCTCAACAACACGGAGAAACCCTGTCTCTATAACTAAAAATACAAAATTAGCTGGGCACGGTGGTGCATGCCTGCAATCCCAGCTACTCGGGAGGCTAAGGTAGGAGAAGTGCTTGAATCCAGGAGGTGGAGGTTGGGGTGAGCCAAGATCACACCATTGCACTCCAACTTGGGTAACAAGAGCGAAACTCCATCTCAAAAAAAAAAAATAGTATTACTTCATAGATTTATGTCTATATTATATTACCTTATTAACAAGGTAATATAAGCAAAAAGGGATTTGAAAACCATAAGGACTACATGGATTATTACTAACTATTGCACCATTAAAAGTAAATTTTTATAAAAGATACTCTTGGGTTTTATTTAAGTATTGAGTTTGAACAGAAAAGTGTGCTTATGCTACTCACAAGCAGTGAAGGCTGTTATAAATATTAATATAAGGGGTCTAGATATTAAATCACTTCCTACTGCTGAGAGATTCTAACATGCCTAAGATTCTAACATGTTATCTCAATTTCACTGAAAGAGCAGGATGAAGGGAGGAAGACACAGTCAGCCAGAGAGGGGAAAAGAGGAGAAACATCTGGAAAATATCAGAGTTGTGGAGCCTCTCGGAAACTGACCTTGCCACCAAAAGGGTAACCGGCTGCACCCTTCCAAAAGTCACAGTTCACTTCATGGTCCCCTCTGCCACACATCCTGAGTCAGGAGCTACTGATGTGTATACCTTGCACTAGGTAATCTCAGACCTACGGGGAGATAGCCTGAGATGAGGATCATTCTGAACCCAAAGAAATGCTCCTTCACCAGTCACAAGTAGCCTTTCCTGTCCTGCCCAAGTCATTGTTCTGCCCCCTCTCTCCTTATACCATCTATCCTTGCCCTTCCTCACTGGAATCCAGATGTCCACAGATAGTCCACCAGGGATCTCACCAGGGCTGTGTGCTACACAATAGAGCTTCCACTGATCTATAACTGGGATAAAGCAACACCTTTTCAAGGTGATGATTACACAAATCCAGACAACCCAAATTTCAAGCCCAATCTGCCCACAGCAGAATTACTTTCAATGTCTTCTTTTAGAAAGTACCCTCATAAGAAATATTTATTAAATGTCATTTTGCAAGTCCACTGTGCACAAACCACATAAGCTATGTTAAAATACACGTCCTTTGATGTGCTACTTGTTTTACAACTGCTGAATGAACAGTTCAAGTGCCCCCAAATCAGCCTTGTAATTCATTTTTAATTCATGTTAGCAGCTCCATCGATCTTTAAACATTCAACCACCAGCCTCGGGAAGCCTGGAGAGAAACTTCCTTTGTATGTAAATGCAAGCAAGCAGTCACCTTGGGGAAGAATGTTCTGATTTAGCTCAAGAGCAATGAATGCTCAGCTTATTTTAAAAGGCTTTATGTGAATAAGGACTTTGTCCTCAGTCTCCTGTACAACCTCAAAGCCATCTGCTCTGGGCAAGCTACACTGCCCCATACCCCTACCCTGCAACATGGTGACAAAGGGCAGCTTATTCTCTAAGGCTCCCCTTGGCCTTCTGCTGTGCTCCGATATATATTAGGTCATCTTGATTTTGCTGTGCTTTTATTCAAAAGGAGAGAACTTAACTTCTTGGCCCCAGTGAATAGTGGTCCAGTACATCATAATGATTTGTTCTCTGCAGTAGGTGGGACTGTTCATTCTTGTATGTTTAAGAAACACCCCAACATCCTTCACATGGCGACATGTGTGGCAGTCATACCAAAAATCTATTACTGACCTCCTGATATAAAATTGCAACTAAGTTAGCAACACTCAATTTAATAACAAACTGTACTTAGATACTATGTTGAACTCCTACAAGTGTCTACTAATGGAACTCCCACCTTTTGCGTCAAGATGGAAGAATGAAAATGTTGGCCAAGATTCTGAATGTTTATTCATTCATCGAGGTATAATCAAATGTTTGTATGTGTCATATGTAGATGGATTCTACTCACCTGGAACTTATTGATATAATTTTGTTAATTTTCACCACAAACCTAAAGAACTCAACTTTCCAAGTTACCTTAGTTCTAAGGAAGGTTTATTAACCCTAACTCTCAACTGAACTTTATCACAGAGCAGCAGAAAAATCTCTTTCCAAATTATGCCTTAAATAAAGCTAAAAAAAATTTTTTTTAAAAGCCTAGACTTTTAGGCCTTTTGCTCATAGCTCCCCAGATGTCTGTTAAGGAAAAGGGAGATCAGTGAGTTTTCAGACTCACACAAATTAGAAAACCCCAGACTGGGAAGACAAGGTACCATTTTAATCAGGAGGTAACATGTATTCCACTCACATTCAAGAATGTTATGTTCTCTGCAGTGAAAAATATGAAGCATCTTTGTAAACTAGTTACACACCTACAGACTCTAGTTCCCAAGAACTTCAGGTCACCAAAATAGTCATTTTTTTTTCTTGTCCTGCTGATATGAGGCTGATCTGCTTACTTCTCTTTGACTTTGAGATCTTCTTCAACTTTTCTAGTATCACTTTGGTCTACACCCTTGAATGTCTTCAAAGGCTTCCACCATCTATATAAAAAGTTGGCTTTCACTCCTGTTTCTTCGTATGTGAGAGAGATCTGTGTTTTGGTCTCTCGCCTAGTTAGGCCTGCAGGCTTTGAGTTCTTCCTATTATCCTCAGACATGTTTACATTTACCCTTCCATAACATAAGCCTAAGTGGGTATCTCCACGGCCCCTCCCTGGCCCAGGTTATTTGTCTCTCCTAGCCTTAAGAAAATTTTATTTACTAGAATTGAAGAAGGAGATGTCCGAATGCAGTGGAGTCATTTATGCACCTTTGCAGAAGGTCAAGCTCTGTGCCTCAAGTGGCCTTAAGTGATGAGTACAGATGTGCCTCAACTTAGTGATGGGGCTACATCGGGATAAAAGCATCTTAAGATGAAAATATATTTAATACACGTAACATACTGAACACCATAGCTTAGCCTACCCTACCTTAAATGTGTTCAGAACACTTACATTAGCCTACAGTTAGGCAAAATTATCTAGTACAAAGCCTATTTTATAATAAAATGTTGACTATATCATGTAATTTTTTAACAGTGTACTAAAAGTAAAAAAATAGCATGGTTGTATGGGTGTTCAAAGTATAGTTTCTACTGAATTTGTATCACTTTTAGTAAAAATTAGTTAAAAAAAAAAAAAATAGAGTCAGTCTGGGCACACTGCCTCACCCATTTAATACCAGCACTTTGGGAGACTGAAGTGCAAGGATAGCTTGAGACCAGAAGTTTGAGACCAGCTTGAACTACATAACAAGACCCTAACTCTACAAAAAAATTTTTTAAAAGATTAACCGAGCATGGTGGCACATGCCTGTAGTCCCAGCCACTTGGGAGACTGAGGCAGGAGGATCACTTGAGCCCAGGAGTTCACAGCTACCGTGAGCTATGATCACATACTGAATTCCAGCCTGGGCAAGAGTCAGACCCCTCTCTACACATACACACACACACACACACACACACACAAATATACATAGAGTTAAAAATTTGTAAACCAGGGACCATCTGCACTGAGTGAGATAAGACTGGAGAGGCTGAGGTAGGCTGGGGCAGAACCACATGAAAGGAAGATGCTGAGGATGAGTGTAGAGATGAGGGAGGGAGAAAGCCAGTGGTGGCCAGGCCCTGGGAGTGTGAAGTTATGGGTAATCTCTCTCTTCAATCTGCCCAGTGACCACTCCCATAAATTCTACACATTCACCAGTACTCTGGATGTGAGTGCCTAAATCTGAGAGATTGGGAAGAAGTGCTGGTGTCAGAAATGAGCACACACAGGGAGACAACAATACATCTGGGATGTGCTTGTTTCCTAGGCTTTCATTGTTATTTCTCTCCTAAGAAATCTTTCTTGTGAAAAAGCTTTTAGCAGATGATAAAACACAAGCATACTCTCAAAGTCAGGTCAGAAAATATTATTTGAAGAATTTATGACCCATGGTCCTTCTTTTATAACACAGCCATTCCTCAGCGTCTGTGGGAGACTGGTTCCAGGACCATTAAGTATACCAAAATCCAAAGATGCTCAAGTCTCATATAAGATGACAAGGCATTTGCATATAAAGTACATATATCATTCCATATGTTTTGAATTATCTCTAGATTGCTTATAATTCCTAACACAATGCCTACATATCACTTCACACAAATTCAACACAATACTGGGAAGCGGCAAATTCAAGTTTTGCTTTTTGGAACTTTGTAGAATTTTTTGCCCCTGGAATATTATTGATCTGCTGTTGATTGAATCCACAGATGCTGAATTCATGGATATGGAATGCACAGATATGGAGGGCTGGAGG